ATCACTAAGATACCATTTTAAATATTATTATATTGCACACGTACCTTATCTATTAAGGTATGCAATTTATMACATGTATACACATACATAACATAACATATGCATGCATCCTTTTACGTTCATCATGTCTTTGCATATATATCATCCATGTATATTATTTTATCATGCATACCATTAGATATTCAAATATTAATAACGTATAATTTTACCTTAACCCAGATTGTCTGAAACCGGTTATAACAGCAACTTTGTCGGGTCCTTCCTTTATATGGGCTACAACTCACTATTGTTCTTGGTTCTGAGTAGAGAATGGGTGGCTGTGGCTCTGGCTTTGAGATATTGTAAGAAATGCAGAATGTCATCTCAACTCGCTGACATTCCTGACATAATGAGAAATAGATGGAGAGGTGACGCTCAAATAGTTGACTTGCCTACTAACTGTATGTGTGCTCATGAATCTCCTGGGTTTCCTGTATTTCAGTATTAACTTTCCAGTTTGTATCATGTGAGACCTTACTTGTTTGCACCCAAGTAGCTCACACACGTTCTGATGGAAGGTCAAGGCCCCTTAACATGATCTTGAGACCTCTATTTCTAGAAATATGGGGGCTTTATATCATATCAGGACAGTGGCACGTCAGACAAGAGTCCCAGGTATGGTAACAGGGTGTCTCTAGGACTTGCAGGTCAGGCAGTTTGTTTGTTACGCAGAAATTTGTTCGCAGTTGCCAAAAGTAGTATCTCACGGAGGCAAGCTTATTGCTGCTGTTAGTTATGAATAAGAGGGGCTATAATCAGGCTTGATCGCTGTAGGCAACGGCTGGGTTATTAGGGCTCTAACACCATGTATCAGATATTAGGGTTAAAATGTAATGTATATTCATGGGCCTTAGGCCATGAAATAGAAAAGAGGTGGGATACACAGAACTATTCTGTCTAAGATAATATGTATGGAAAAACACAATGGTAATAGTACTAAAATGAACATGCAACTAAATTTCAGTCTAATAAGATTCGCAGTGTGGTTATAAATTCTGTTGAGTGCCTGTTTATTTTTTGTTTTGAGTTCCCTTTTGCTCTATTTTCACCTCAAATCTAACTATATGGCTAAAATACGCTCTGTACAGGACATGCTAAAATGAATTTGAATGATTACAGGATCAAAAGACCACATAAAGGTGCAGGGTGAGATTTTGGAGGGCCTTGTTGCACGTCTTGTAAGCCATGAGAGCTCAAAACAGATGGAGCTGGTACTGAAAGCATATCCTTCACCAATAGGAGAAGGTATGTTAGCCACCTTTTTATTTGATATATATTTTGTTTGGCATACAATAGCATTTATCTATCTTCAGTTTCTCTAATTTCAAATAGTACAACCACCTTTTCATAAGCCTTTGTACATATACGAGTATACGACATGTCTGTCTGTGTACGAGAATTGCAGCTTGTGCAATTAAATAAGTTTTGTTTGTTGCAATTTATCAGAAACTTGAACTTTGCATAAGAATTAACTCTACTTTTGTCTTTAGAGGATGTGTGGAGCTTCCCCTTATCTTTAATTGATATTGTGGAATGCAGTATGGAAAGAGTCATCTTCCAAGCATTCCATGTTGGTGTTTATTATGTTATATCTATAGCTACTTAATTGGAATGTAACATATTGCATTATGAGCTTGAAAAGTCTCTATATGGCATGTATTAATCCGTAATTGCTTTCATGTCCTTTTTCTTTCAAGATAATGAACAAAATTACAGATTTTGTCTTCATTTCTGAAAATTTCCCTAATCTACTAAAGATCCTTCTTCTGGTTTTCACCTTCTTTGCTCATGCAATTTAGTATACCATTTATAAATTTTCTTTCTTTTCCTTACGTGGCAGTTCATCAAGATTTGGGACCAGGACTGCGGGAAATATGTGCCGCAAATAGATCGGATGAGAAACAAGTAATATTTAGTTTGTTTGTAATACTGAGTTAGACTAGCAGTGTTTAAGAGACTTCTGATATCTTGATACTGAGCTACAAGTAATGTACATGTCTCATGATACCAATGCAGCAAATAAAGGCACTTCTTCAGAATGTTGGTACCTCTTTCTGTCCTGATTACGTTGACTGGTTTGGAATTGAAGCTGCTGATGTACATCCAAGAAATGCTGATCGATCAGTTGTTTCCAAATTCTTACAAGCAAATCCTTGTGACAATTCTACCATCAAGTTAAAGGTAGGACCGGTTCTTTTCCGTAGATTGTTGAACTTTGGGACAAATAGAGCACAAAGAATATTTAAATTGGTTGCTTAACAAGTTGGTTGATTTCCAGTTGGTGCATTTGGTATCTTCTTGTTACTTTCTTACACTGGCTTTTGATGTTCATTCGACTCTAATGACAGTTTACTCGAGTATTTGATAATCAATGGAACCTTTTTGTTTTACTTGTCTATCGATGCTTTAGTATATACCTACCTGATTACTGTTTCACCGTGCTTATTTGAGGTTATGTTTCATATTTAATTCGTTATCATTCTTGTGTTGTGTGTTTATTTGTGTTACGTTATTCATTGTTAACTATTTTAGCATAGAAGAGTCTTGTGATGATCTTCATCTTGTTTTGGCAAGTTAAGCGATGTAGGTTGTTTAAGTACATATGATATTTCACCCAGGAAATGGTTCGCTTGATGAGAGAAAAGCGTTTTCCGGCTGCTTTCAAGTGCTACCATAACTTCCACAAAATCAATACAATATCTGGTGACAATCTTCATTATAAGATGGTGATCCATGTACACAGTGATTCAGGCTTTCGGCGATACCAGAAAGAGATGAGGTCTGACTTTTTACTCTTGAATCTTCTTAGATAGTCATTTCACATTTTTTTTACGTTTTGTGTCTTGCTACACAGAACGATTTGTATTGTCTACATTACACATATTGTGTATTTACATGCATTACTGACTTGAAGAACTTGACATCTCTCAGGTACAAACCAGACCTGTGGCCACTGTATCGAGGTAAATGCTCATGCTACTAATTTAAGACAATTCACTCAATATAAGTCCCCAAATCCAAATAAATATAAGAAAAAAAGAAAAATTAGAAGGGGGTTGAACTTCTTGTTCTTGAATGAAAAAAATGGAGATGTAACTTTACTATCGTTACATCCAAGTAGCAAATGCAGCAGATGACTATTATGAAGATTTGTAGGGTGGCAACATGCAATTCGTAAGTCAAGTGAATGTTATGTTTTGACCCTGGCATCTCCACTTATTTTGCTGGTTTGTGTTTTTTTTCCTTCTTTCCAAGATAAGATGATTACCATGAAGGAAAAAATAACTACAATGAGTGAAAAATTCACATATCAAGTGAAAGATCAGAAAGAACCAAAAAGGGAAGCCAAGAAATAAATGATCCATTATAGAAGTGGTTGTATCCTTTCAAAGTCATAGATGGGTACACCCCTTTAAGGCTCCCATAGGCAAGGACCATAGTGAAGCCAAAAAATGAATCTTTCCCTACAGAGGTACTTCTTAAATTTCCATAAGCAAAATAATTTTCTTCTCTCTTTTTATCGTTATGGTTATTATTATTATGGTTACAGTAATGGGAAATTAGCTAAGGACACACCCAAACTAGCAACCACCTTTCATGGAGCTTGAATCCCCCAACTCAACTTTACCTGTGTTGGGTGGTGCCACTAGGCTAAAGGCAGAAGCTGTTATTAAGGGATCATCATAGTAACTTACACATGCAGTACTCTTTTAATTTGTTCCAAAATTCTTTTGGAGGTTATATCTAAAACACACCACATTGTAGTTATTATCGTCATAAAAAATGACTTCTTCGAAACGTGAGTGATAAATGTAACATTCAGATTAAGAAAATAGTCAGGCGACTCCAAGCAAATATGTCAAGCCTTTCTAGTTTTGGTGCATGGTGTTGAAACTTGAGAGATGTTCAATTTGATGGATGCCATGACTTATACATGCGTACCTTCTGCTTTCAGGTTTTTTTGTTGATATTAACTTGTTCAAGGCTAGTAAAGAGAAAGCTGAGGAGATTGCTAGAATTAGTGCTGATATTGGAAAAAATGACAAAGATAGTGACGACCCATCTAGACAAAGTGGTTTAGCAGATGAAGATGCAAATCTAATGATCAAGCTTAAATTTCTTACATATAAGGTATGTTCATTGTAAACCAAATTCAATATTCGTATTTTGTTTATTTTTCTTTGGATGTTTAGAAGCTCTCATAAGGAATTATAATAACAACCAACAATTCCAACTTCTCCTGTGCACTTCTTTTGTTATCAGCAAAAGTTTTGTAATTGTGAGATAAACTTCTATAAATGCACTTGAACAAAGTAAGATATACTTGAAAATAATGACTCAGGGAATTTCAATTACTTGGGCAGTGGGGATGATATTCGTAATCTGAGTTCATAAGACCATCCATCTAAGTGAAAGGGTTACATTGTCTCCCAGACTCCCACTGCCTCAATATAAGAGATCTATTTTACAACCTACCAAAAAAAGACCGACGACAGTCCAAAACTATGTCGAGTTCCAAAGGCAGTTCAATAAGATGAGGATAAATGAACATAAAAAAGTTAATCAATGTGAGCTGAACTTGCGGAGTAGTTTGAACCCATCCTGAGAGCTCTAGTCTCAGTCTTCGAGCTGGCCACGGGGCAACAGCCTCCGATGCCCACACCGTAAATTATTTTTGTAATCAAAATTGACTATTTACGCATGTGATTTGGACATAAAGGCCATAGGAGCAAGAGAAATATAAGCAATCACAGAGATAGTTATCACTGATATAAGCGAAGAACGAGACATTTGTTACAAGAAACTATTGGCGTCTCCAGATGATAGGGGCCTAACAAAATGTTCTGATATTCTTAGTAACCTATCTTTCACTTAAATGCAAGTTACATTTCAAGCATTTCTGTCTGCATGCTTTTCAAGCATGATACCATTCAATCAATGATAAGTTACATGTTTACTGACATCTGCTCATTTGCTTTTCGACATGCTCATATTTCTTCCCAGTATGTCCTACGTCTCTTGGTCAAATCACTTTCATGTTCTTCTGATGTGATTCTCTTATGGCACAGCTGCGAACATTTTTAATTCGGAATGGCTTATCCGTTCTTTTCAAAGAAGGTCCAGCTGCCTACAGGACCTACTACCTCAGGTAACATATGTCTATGTTGTTATTTTCAAAGTTTTGAGGGAGTTTTTTCATAAAGAACTTCCATTGAATAATTTACAGTCCTCTCAAAATTGAAAATTGCATGCTGTAGGCAAATGAAAATATGGAATACATCGCCAGGAAAGCAGAGACAACTCAGTAAGATGTTGGATGAGTGGTAATGACAGATTCAATCTTTGTTTTATATGCTTACTATTTTTTGCTTTTCCATCGAGTATGAGGTAGAAAATATATGTTTTCAGGGCAGTGTACATAAAAAGGAAATGCGGACACAGACAGCTTTCATCGTCGGTGTACTTGAGTGAAGCTGAGCCTTTCCTTGAACAATATGCAAAACGCAGTCCAGAGAATCAAGCCTTGATAGGATGTGCTGGGGACCTAGTGAGAACTGAAGATTTCTTGGCCATTGTTGAGGGAGGTAGAGATGAGGAAGGTGACCTTGAGACCGAGAAGGATCTAACGCCATCTAGCCCGAGTCCTGATGCTGTTCAGAAAAAGGAAGGTCTTATAGTATTCTTTCCAGGTACCCAGGTTCATATCCTGATTGGTGTTCCAATGTTTATTTTGTAAATCTCTTTCAGGTTTAACTATCCTAACTTCCTTTGGACTCGAAATAAGCTTTTGAAGCTTGATATCTTGGCTTCGGACACGCATGTCGAGAAAAGTGGAGTTGTGAAGGAGAAACTAATAATGGATAGCCCTCTCCCTATTCCATCTGATTGTTTCTGCATATTTCTGGTCATAAAACTAAAGAAGTCTTATAGTGCCTTATTTATTAATTAAATCAATTTCTTTGGTTTCCTTTGCTAGGTGAAATGTGTCCGGAAGTATCAGTTTCTTATTTGTATATGCATGTATTTTCATTAGTCTGGACATTTAAGCTTTAGATATTCTTTTCAGGAATACCTGGTTGTGCTAAATCTGCCCTCTGTAAGGAAATATTAAGTGCTTCAGGAGGTCTTGAGGATGATCGTCCAATCCATAGTCTAATGGGTGATCTTATAAAAGGTATCTGGCCCTTGCAAGTAACTTGTGTAGATGATGTATTGACTGTTTTTTGTTGTGGAAACTAAGGGCCTGTGTGAGATGTGTTCTTATGTTTGAACTTCATTTTTAATCTTTTATCACCGCTACTTGTTCTATTTTGCTGTGTTATAACGATATCCTTGAAAATTACCGGTGTCACAAAAACTTTTTGCAGTAGCGGAAAAATCTTTCGACATGTGGTATTAAGCACGTTAATGTCTGAAGCTTAGAGGCCGAAGACGGTTTAGGAATACAAGTAGCAACTGAATATAATTTTGACGCAGCTGAAATCACCATTCTAAAATGTCAAGAGCGCATTTTAGCTTTCACCGAAGTATGCTTTTTAGCTTTATCCTTCTAATTGTCTCAGTTATATGTACAAGGCCTAATATGACTATTACTACCTGACCTTCTTTACTAATATAGGTCGGTTCTTAAATATTGTGGGTCATATTATCTGGCCATATCTGTGCATCTGCTTTTTTGGTGGTAGAAATTTAGTTGAAGCTGGGAGTGACTGAATTTACAATAGGTATTGTTTGACCTCGGGTCATCAAAAAGATGTGATCACATGTTTAAGGAAGGAATAAATGGTAAAAGAAGATAAAAATCAATAATGTCTAACGTCTACGCAAGAAATAAGAAGATAAACTAGAAGAGGGAAAACAGAGGAAAAAAGTAACTATTATGGTGGTATACTTCAATTCTTGATGAAGAGACGTTCATAGATCATCTGAATCCCTCATTTCATATATGGAAACACTTGTAGAAAGAATGGTTTCAGATATTGTGTAGGTGTGAGCTCTTGCATTCATAGTGGTATACAATATGCATACACTATATGCTCATGTAAAGAAAAGAAATCTTTTGTGCACTAGCAAAGGCAGGAGCTGATAAATTATCTCCCTCTTCTATGTAGTAATGTATTGAAATCGCAACAAGGCTATTTGGTTCATCATTTTTTAAAATCTCAACAGGGAGATATTGGCAAAAGATTGCGGATGAACGACGGAGGAAACCTTATTCTATTGTGCTTGCTGACAAGAATGCACCCAACGAAGAAGTATGGAGGCAGGTAACTTTTTCTCTCTCCTTTCCTTTTTCTTTGAAGCAGCCTCTTATGCAAAAAACACACCATTTTTTTTAATAAATAGAGGACAGTAGGCCTCAGTGACCGGTTAGCTAAATGTAGATAGTTAGGGTTCATCTTTCTATCTAACTTTTACATAGTTTCCTAAGATAGTTTACTGATGGTATTATATAATCAAGTACATTTCTTCTAAATGAATTACAGAAATCTTGAATACCATCTGTACTTGACCCATATCCTTAATGAGAGTACGCGCTGATCTCTCCCAGCGTAGAGGTATGGGTGTAATTCATATGTGTGAGGCCTTGGGTTCGGGCCTTGATGGTGCAAGGCTATGCTGGAGCATATGTTTTCTCTGAGAAGGAGATGGATGCGGATTGTGTTATACCTCGAGTATTACAGTCAATAAGTCAATTGGAGTAGGTTATGGTACAAGTGTTTACTGTTGGGTACAAGTAGGTGAAGCAGGGTAGTGGGTCAGTTACTTGGTATAAATAAGAGGGTTTTGGAGGGGAAGGGGGGTATCGATTATTCTATTGAGTTTGAGATTGGCGAAAGCCTTTGGGAGACCTTCAGCTTCTGGAATTGCTGGAACCCTTTCTTCAATCCTTTGATTCAGTTCTAATTCCATATTGAAGTCATCGTTGTGTACCAATTTCCTCGTTAATTGCTTGGGTTGTGTCAGATTGTTGTCTACCTTCTTGATAAATTACCTTGTAAGTTGTGATTCTTTTCTGCTTTTGCAGATTGAGGACATGTGTCGTAGTACTAAAGCATCTGCAGTGCCAATTGTGCCGGATTCTGAAGGTTCTTTTATCTTCACATTGCAGCTAATTATATTTATTTTTTCAGAAATATATTGAGAATTTCATTGATTATTATAAAGTAGTAATATGTCCATACTCTGGAGCAAGTTCATGCCATTGGTCAAACTATGGCACATGTTATCGTAGAGAAATGAATAAGGCACCTAGTTTTCAAAAACTGGCCCTTTTCTAAGTGAACGTTAAATGTAAACCGAGTTATGACTTGTGGTTGCGGATACGTGAACAATCAAATATCAACATCATGCAGTTTCTTTAGCAAATATAGAAATTGCTAGATCTAAAGCTTGACTTCTTTTTTCTACTATTGCCAAGAATAAGTTCTGCTTGTTATCATGGTGTTCTATGTTTTCTTATCTATCTATGTTCTTTTACTATTATTCCCTCCATCAAATAAAATGCAACACTTGAGTCTTTGGTTAATTATAAATATCTAAAATGCTCTTTTAAGACAAAATTGAAAAAGCTGGTGGCCAAACTCAATATCACCAATATCTTGTAACGGTTGTTAAAGGTCCAATAGGAAATTTGGATTGGAATTATTACTGAAAAAGAAAATGTGATTTGTTTGGACAACCTAGAATGTAAATGTGTGCACCTTTTTTGGGGGCAGAGAAGTACTCTTCTTTCGATTTAAGTAAGAAAGGTAACATCTGTTTGCTTAAACTATCGAGCATATTAACTTTGTGTGGTTGTACATGCAGGAACCGAGACAAATCCATTCTCTCTTGATGCGTTAGCTGTTTTCATTTATCGTGTACTTAACCGAGTCAATCACCCTGTACGTTTATTTTTTTTCCCATATGTGCAATTGTATTTCTTCCACTTATTCTTGGCATCTAAATGCTTACTTTATCATTTGCTGTTAAATCTGAAGGGAAATCTTGATAAATCGTCTCCAAATGCTGGATACGTGTTGCTAATGTTCTATCACCTATATGATGGAAAGGTATGATGGCTCCAGGCACTATGCTTTACTTTCTTGCAAGACCCATTGCTTTAAATGTCCCTTTTGATGTTTCAGAGTCGTAGAGAGTTTGAAAGTGAACTTATAGAGCGTTTTGGCTCTCTTGTGAAGATGCCTCTTCTGAAATCTGAAAGGTACTGGCGTTTACTTTCTATATATGTTGTGTGGCTCCTGCCTCCCTTCATCTCTTTTTGCTGATTGATTAAAATCTTGGTAACCTGTCGTTTTGCATTATGTCTTGCACCCACTTAAATCCAAGCCCATCTATACATGATATTCGAGAATAGTTCAGAAGGGGTAGTTTGGGTACTTAGAAAATATTTAGTATAAATAGGAAAGATGTAGGGGGTGAGAGGCATGCAGAAACTTAGTGTGTGGTCTATGGGAGGGTGCTAGCCTCTTGAACGCTAAGAGTTTACCTTGTCTGATTCGTCTGTTTTCATCTTCATTATTTGTTCCTTACTGATTTGGATTCCAGTTCATAATACATTACTAATGGTGCACATGTGTTTGTGGTATGATTGGTTAGACTTGTGCAAGTGTGGAAGAGCATAATTTTTTTTTAATACTTGATATGCACTTCAGGATCTTTTCAGTTTAGATCATATGTTATAGGAGCACTTTGAGCTCAAATAGCTACACTTCAACTTCCGTTAACATTGTCATCTAAGAAAATTTCATGAGACTATGGCTTCAGGCTACTAATGTATTTGTAATTGCTAGTTTTTAATTTTTTTGCAATCATATGGTAACGCTTCATAACAGTTTCCGTTACGAGCTGCATAAACCAAAACCAAACCAAAACCAAACCAAACGAACCAAGTAAATCCCACACATAGTAGGTCTGGGGATGGTAAGATGTACACATATCTTACCTCTAACCCAACGAGTATCTGTGAAGACCTTCGTCTTGCGAATTTTTTTGAGGTTTTATGAAGAACTTGTATTAAAAAAGATTTTGCGAAAATTTTGGAGTGATCCTGCAAGTAAAACTAAAGTATGTAAGAAATGACGCTTTGAATAGTTAAATGAAGAGCTTGAAACGAACTTAGGGAAGGAACAAAGGCTTGGAAAAGTATAACAAGTAGGCACAGTAAACAGCATGAAAAAAGATGAAAACAAGTAAGGACATTTAAACCATAAGCAGAAGTATGAGACAACTAAACCACCTAAAAAATGGGAGCCCCCCACCTATCCTAGGACTAAGATACCTAGTTATCAGCTTCTAACCCTCCCTCGTCCTACCCTCTACCAACCCCCCACACGGACTGCAGTCCTTCAAGTCCTTATATAAAATTTGATACCCTAGTCTTGCATCTCCCAAAACTTCTATTTGAGGCCATGTCTTCAGAAATGTCTAAAGTCACTGTCTAGTCTTAGCTGCTCATCCCACGTCCCTCCTTGTCATGCCCCTCTTCCTCGCCCCGTTGACCGTTACTCTCTCGACCCTCCTCACTGGTGGCGACATATGTCTTACAAACATGCTCAAGCCATCACAGTCTTCTTTCAATTTATCCGTGATAGGGACTACTCCCAACTTTGCTCGGAAGACCTTATTTGTTACGAGCTCCATGTGTACTGTAAATTAGAAAGACTGGTAATACCAGGTTCTGTTTCAAGATATGCCAATTGGGTACCATGAGCATGATGGTACTTAATGCTATGATATACATATATTTGTTAAGTGGTTATATGTTAAACTAAATTACAATTAAATGTCAAGAGATGGCTTGATTATATTTCAGTAATCCACCAGAAAGATCTAGCCTTCTGATCGGGGTGGATGTGTCAAGTAATATCAAATATGTTTAGCTACTAGAGTAGCTGGGGCCATTGTTTTTTCCCTTGACAACTGAATGTCCGATGAACTATTCTTATGATGTGTCAAAGCAAGATTCATGATTTGAAAATTGCTATGTAGTTGGTACCTGTTGCTTCTTAATTCTACTCTTACTTTTATTTGTTAAATGCAATTTGCTGAAGTATAATTGTATCTGGAAGTTGATTGAACTAGAGATTTCAATGCTGGTGCACTAACGTTGACCTATTTTTTTTAACTTTTTTGGCATGTAAAGGAGTCCCGTGCCTGATAAAGTGAAGACAGTATTGGAAGAGGGAATAAATCTATATTGGCTCCATTCTAAAAGGCATGGGAGGTTAGTGTTTGTCTATCAAATACTTAAATTGTACTGCTTTTTTTGTGGTAATTTAGGGCCGTTAGCCAAATGCTTACCCGGTAAGCGCTTACTGGTTAGAGTTAACACTCTTTAACTTATTTTACCAGGTAAGATTGTAGTCCATCAAAACGATATTGTATGCCAATTTTCCAGGTAAGCGCTTATCGGGTAAGAGTCGTCACCCTCACTTACCGGGTTAGACTCTCATCCTTATCATCACTTACCGTAGGCGTCAACACTCTTAACTTATTTTACTGGGTACGATTGTAGTCCATCAAAACGGTATTGTATGCCAATTTGCCCCCGTAAGTGCTTACTGGTAAGAGTCGTCACCCTTGTTTAGCGGTTAGACTCTCCATCTCTATCATCGCTGTAAGATTCTCGCCCCTTGCCATGTCCATCCGGTAAGGTAAATGACCTGGTAACCGCTTGCTGGGTAGCGTTTTCTAAACGCTAGAGGGAGTAGATTCAGTATAAAATGAGGGCACGATGCACTAATGAAGTTCCTGTACTGAAGAAAGTGTAAACGAGCAAATCTTTCGTTGTTATACATGGCACTTCTAACGTCGTTCTTGTTTCTGATGTCAGATTAGACTCCACCAAGGGGACTTACGTACGGGAGTGGGTTACATGGGAGAAGCAATTGCGTGAGACTTTATTTGGAAATGCTGAGTATTTGACATCTATTCAGGTAACATGCAGTGTCTTTTCTGTCCTCATTTAATTCCATCTTAGAGCTCGTCTATTTTCGTGAAATGCACTCCAGTGACAAACTAGGGGTTGGAATTATTGTCAAACTAGATAACAAATTAGGTTTTCTCTTGTTTAAATGCTGCCTGTTAGGGGAACCGAGATTTCACAATTGCCTAAGGAAATAACAAAAAATTTCTTAGTTTTGGCATCGACATAGTTGTCTACCAGATAAGCAGTTGTTTACCGGATAAGCAGAAGCAGTTTCACTAAACATGGACAAAGTAGTGATCTTTTTTCTTTTTGAAGTATATAATCTTTATGTACGACAAATATAACAAATAAACTCGGATACCCCCCTCACCTTTGGTGAGGTTTGAACCCCTGACCTCCTAGGAGGCGAGAGACTTAGATACCACTAGGCCAAAGGCCTCACAATATTAATATAGATCTGTTGGTTGGTTCCTTGTTCTTACATAGAAGAAACCCATGTTTTAGCCCAGTCTACATATAATTTTAAGAAATATAAAGAACACCAAAATTATAAGCTAAAAAACAACAAATTTGACAACTATGGATTCGAACCTAGGTCCTTTGTACATAGGCAAGGGCATTTACCATCTTAGCGATTAAAATCTTTTGCTAACATTTCAGTTTCAAAAACTATATGGTGGCACCTTTTAGAAACTTAATTTTTTCCCCTTGACGACGAAACCATGAAGTGGTGGCCCGTGCCATCGTATCATTCCATGTGGGTCCGCCCCTAAGAGTGAAAGATTGACTTTGTCCCTAACAATCTCCATGTGGGTCCGCCCCTAACACCAATTTCCCATTCTATCAATAGTGTCCTCATTGAATCCGGTACTGTTTCCTACAGAAAAAGCATATTAAATGTTAACCAGCATCTGTCTTGTAGATATTAAAACGAAATAAACCATCAGAAACGAGTCCTTGTGGTCCATTCATCTGTTCTGATGGCAAATTTAGAACTCTTAAGTCCATTATTCCCTATTCCTCTTTTTAAGATGTTATTGAGTTCGTCAATGCTACTCTGTTTTGTAGGTTCCTTTTGAATTTGCTGTTAATCAAGTGTTGGAACAGCTAAAAAGAATTACGAAGGGAGAATACACGACACCCACGTCTGAGAAGAGGAAGTTTGGAACTATAGTTTTTGCTGCCATTGATGTTCCGGTTGCAGATATTCTTAATCTTCTTTCAAATGTGAGTAGAATATCTACTTTGTTTTCTATACATGCGTATGATCATTTGGGAAGCAACCCTCGAATAACGTTCCTACTTAAACCAAGTGGTCGTTTACCAACACAAACAGGGTAAGCGCTAACCGGGTAAGAGTTTGGTCTGGGTTAACACTAATCACTAACCGAGTAAGGATCTGATTGTTAGCAGCTTAATGAGACACAACTTATTCAGTCAGGTATACATGACTTTTTGGTAGTGGCTTCATGATATAGAAATTGGCTTATTCAGTAAGCTTCTAGGGGGAAGCCTTATGCAAAACACCAAGTTTTTTCCAAACTTGCCTCTCCCAATTAGAAAACAAGCTTCTTCCATCTATGAAAAATCCCTCCCAAACATAAACCTTCCCATCTATATAGACACATTAATTCACACAGACAACTTTCCAACCAACCAAGGGGTTGTTTGGTTGATTTTTCATCAAGTCCTGTATGGATAAAGTTGTTAATGTGGATTAGTTTATCTATATTAAATAGATGACATAATTCAAACCCTGGCAGTTCTTATAACTTTGAGTCTCTTTCTCTATAATTCAAACCCTGGCAGTCTTATAACTTCTCCCTCATGGCTCACGCTTTAAACCCTTCTCCCTTCTGGCTCTATCGAAGTACTGTTGGTTGTTGCACCGGAGTACTTGCTACATATTTGAGTTGTGTATAACTGTCCGTGTGTGTGTGTGTCTATGTATATATTATGTTTTTTTTATAAGATCCGCCTCACATTCCTGATGCCCACGCCTCACTCGTATACCCTGGGACCCTTTGCGCCCAAGTGCTCCTTGAGCCTTTAACAACTTTGCGTTGGATAGATCTAATTTCTTCTTCTTTTTCTTGTTTGAATAGATATCCAAGAACGAGCCAAAGGTTAAAGCGTTCTTGGAAGACACCAACATGGCTAACAACCTCAAGACGGCTCACATCACTCTTGCTCACAAAAGAAGCCATGGTGTAACCGCTGTGGCCAATTACGGTCCATTCGTGAACCAAACGGTCCCTGTAGACGTGGCTGCGCTATTCCTCTCAGATAAACTAGCTGCACTAGAAACCCACCCAGGCTCCGTCGATGGTCAAAAGATAAGTTCTAAAAACCAGTGGCCACATCTCACATTATGGACCGCCGAAGGCATTCCACCCAAGGAAGCCAACACGTTGCCCGACCTGCTTTTGCAAGGGAAAGCTAACCGAATCGAAATCAAGCCGCCGTTCAGGATCAGTGGCGTTTTGCAGTTCCATTGAGGTTTTCGTTATCATCAATTTTGTTTTATGGTACTTTGCATCTTTGGGAGAATGAAAACTATAATTTTGTAGGGGTAATATGGTCAGATTTTACCACAAGAGACTATGCAAGAAAGCACAGCATCAAATAATGTACAGAATGAGTTTGAGAATTGAGGTACACCTTCACTTATAATTTTCTGTAGGATTAGTACAAGTTATCTTCATGTATCTGTCTTGTTGCTTACTTATATCTGGTTTTTCAATGTTTAGCGTATCTGTTTTTCTCCCTTTCTCACGCTTTTCACTAGCTGGGGTGTAAGATCCCACGTATCGGTTGGGGAGGGGAACAAAGATGTCATATAAAGGACTGATATACCTCATCTATCATGCACGTTTTAAAACCGTGAGTCTAAGTATGGGCAAATCGGAAAATATCTGGTATAGTTGGTATGGGATGTCACATGGGGGTTTTCATCGGGATGGTTATTGGTCGCTCTACTCTTTAGGGTAGAGGTCATATCTGCATACGTTTTAAGCCCCGACCCCACCTCCAAATGAGATATACTAGGCTCATTTTGTTTGGTTCAGTTCATGTTCATCTCGAGAAAGCTGAAAGTGAACGCAAACCTATTACGACTCGGTTTCATTTAACAAGTGGGTCTAGTCCACTTTTCTGACAATTTTTTTTCCTCCAAGAGATTCTTTAAAAGAAAGCATGAGTGTGTGTAAAATTGCCCTAGAAATGATTACCATGCGAGAAATAACCTTTTACTTGCTCCGTCATAAAATAAATGTCAAATATTTCTATTTTAGTGTTCACTTTAAAAAAATAAGTGCCTATTTTCTCATTCTACCCTTAATTATAGGATGGAGAATTTAATTATTTCATTTATCATTAAGGGTAAAACTGTCATTTAGTTAATTAAAAGTGTAATAGTTATATCTGAAATTGTATGTCTTTTTCATTATGAACATTTTAGATAGAAGAGATATTCTCATTAATGAGAAACCTTGATGTTGAACATTTAAGAGAGAAATAATATTTTATTAAATATATAAAATGTCTTAATCCCAACACAAAAAATTTTGTCCAAGTGGAACATTATATTCTTTAAACAATCTAATTATTTTGATAATCTGTTATAGAGATGGCAAAAAAAAAATCGAAACCAATGATGAAAACCGAAACTTTCGGGTCGGGTTCGGGACGAAAATTGGGGACATATTTGGGGATTTTGACGGAGGCGGGGACGATGATAACCGACCCGATATGTGTATATATATTAATTTTAATTTATATACATACATACACACACATATAATATCATTAAAAGAAAATACTAACATTAAACTTTAAAAAGACTTTTATCCACTTTACTTCAATACTCCAAACAAAGCTCACGAAAAAATCTAGTTTATTTGTTTAATCGTAAAATCGTGATGTTAGTTGTATTGGATTTGAATTTCTATTTACTTTTATATTGTAACCTAAGATGTTTATAATTGGTTTGATTATATTTGAGAATTTAGGGGCGTTTACCAAACGCTTACCCGGTAAGTACTTACCGGGTAGTTTTCCTCATCGGATGAACATGGCAACGGCCAAGAATCTTATCCGGTAAGAGCGATGAGGATGGAAAGTCTTACCCGGTAAGTGAGGGTGACGACTCTTACCCAGGTAAACGCTTACCAAGTAAATTGTTGTATAAGATACGTTTTGATGTACTATAATCTTACCCACTAAAATAAATTATAATGTTGATTCCTAACGCTAAGCACTTACGGGTAAGCATTTAGTTGTGAAAATTAACATATTATAACTTATTTCATATCGGTTCAGGTTCGGGTATAACCAATAGCGAACAGGAAAACCAACTGGAAAAGAGGGATTTTTACCCTTAACAGGTTCCCCAACGGGGATCGGAACGGTTACGGGAATGGTTCTAGTTATCGGTTTCAGGGACAGGGATACAATAACCGTCCTGAACCCTGCCCGTTGCCGTTCCTAAATTCTGTTGAAGATGCTCTTAAGAATACTACAATTATGATTCGTTCGTCTTCTGCTAACACTGTCGGAGTCCACGAGTGTTCGATCACAACAAACAGACCATAAAAATCTCGGTCTATTCGAATAAAACACCCTCTTAACATTGATGACAACAAAAATAGTTAAATCCACATCAGGAAATATTTGTCGAAATCGTAAACAGATTTTCTACGGTCATTCAGATCAAGCTGCCGGTCTCCAACTTCGAACCCATTCGGTTATGGTGGCTACATTCCGATTCATGTCATCGATGGAGTCGCTCTTCATCGCCACCACCGTCTCTTCTGGGTAACTATCGTTTGCTTCCTCAAGCAGAACTTGAAAGATTTCGCACTCGATATTGTTGGTAAGTTTTGCACCAGAATAACCCCTACAAGTATCAAACATTTTAAGATCCCCGAGACTTTGAGCATCTTCAACAGATTCTCTATAATATGTTTAAAACGGAGAAGCAAAAGTTAAAATCTCCGACAGTTTCTGTTCGGCATTTAATTTTGGAGAGTCTTAATTTATTTTCGCTCTTACTTTCTCCATTTTGAAGGATCTCTTGGACCAGAAAAGAATAAGTTGAAAACTTTAAAATCGCCGTTCTTTTCATTTTAGTGACCTATGAAGGAATAAAGAAGATTAGAGATACAAGTAAATACCCGCCCCCTCTTTTCACAGGTCTAGCCAATGTTAGAATCTAACACGCCCCTGCCAACGAAGGCTAGACAGTCACAAATTGTTCCAGAGTGTCGAGAGGGGGATAGATGGATGAGGAGGCCAGGCAAGTGTAGATTGACTAGATTCTCAAGTCCCCGGAGTGGTAGACCTCAACTCTGATACCACGTAAGAATATGTGGAACCCCATCAAATTACTATCCCAAAAGCCACGAGTACAGATTGCCTAGATTCAAGTCCCTAGGGTGGTAGACATTTGCTACCATGTAAGATTACGTGGAACCTCATCAAATTACCATCCAAAAGAGCCTTTGGGGGAGAGGAAATGTTCCAACATATATTAAGAAGAGTTGTTCCAAATCTAGCGGCATTGGACCCTTAACGGTTTTGAAGATAAAAAGAGGCATTTAATCTAAAAGTTCCAGGAAGAATATATGCGGTTATTATGGGAACTTCCAGGAAAGAAAAGTGAAACTACTTTTGTGGACAATGTGAATTATCAGAAACTATAAATCAAACTACATGAAGGAAGATACACACCGCTTGCTCAAACGGTCATAAAGAACTGAGTTTTCTGTTTGGAGCACCACCACACGGTCAAACCAGCGTTCTGGGAAAAAGTCGCAACCATGATGGTCCACAATGTTCCCTCCCTCTTCCATCATCTCTTCTAGTTCATCACAAACCTGCAAATAGTAGGCATCAGAAAGAGATTGTATAACATAATGATTTCAATGTATGGTATGCGAACCCTCAAATGATTAGCTATTTTAAAGCTTATTGTCTAGCAATTGATCTCAAAGTGTGAACACTCGATTCTTTGAGCCATTAATCATTTTCATTGTAGAGGTATCAAAAGGTCTGTTCAAGAATTTAAAAGAAAAAGAAATTTGGAGAGAAGAAGACCACTCCAAGAGTGTCAAAGCATTTCAACTTGTAATCTTCTCGTACAAATATGAGTATATGAGCATCGCAAATTCTAACCATCAAAGGCTATTAGGATGAGTTTGGTACACTGCCGAGGATGGGACAGGGTGGAACAAAAACTTGTTGTCCCATGTTGGCGCGAGATTGGATTGGGACGGAACTATATGGGAAAAAATGCATTTTTTTGTCCCACCAAAATAGGTGGAACAAATATTAGGGATGTCAGACAAGATTGACAAATTACTAAAGTACTCATGCTAAATTAAAATCCTATAACCTTCCAAAGTTCTTTTGCCCGTCTACCTTACTCTTGTCCATCACAGTTTCGTCCTTCATGGTTCTTGTCTATGTTACCTCATGGGATTTTTTACTCCTTTGCAACCCCCCCCCCCCACACACACACACAAAAGACAAACACCCCAGACAGTGGTATTTTGAAGATTTTATGTACAAGCTTGAAACATTTTGCAAAGTAAAGAATCAATTTATTCTATTGAATGAAGACTCAACAACCAACATATGGAAGTTTGGAGGCTTTTATGAGGGTGCATACAAGTCCAGATGTAAAGCTTTTTGCAAGTCCATCAGAAAGGGAGAGGGCGGTATCCCATAACAATGTAAGTCATGCAAGCATCGGACAGTTTAGCTCTTCGTGAGGCAAAAACATTTCCACAGGGAGGAAAGCTCCTAGAACGTAAACCAGGCCAAACTGCAAACCCATGTCCCCGTTGATTCATTTCATATACTAATCCCAAATTCCCAATTCCTCCCGATTGTTTCATTTCATATACTAATCCCAAATCCTCTCAATTGGTTCATTTCATATACTAATCCAAATTCCTCTAAGATTCAAGTAGACTGCAGTCTGCAGCTATCCAGTTTAAAGTGAAACTAAATCAATAACGCTCCTCATGGTATATACAAACTACATTAACTTGATCCCAAGTATAGTCCTTGTTCCTTATTCATGTTTGCTAACACATTTGCACAAGTCAGTGATCTTCACAGAAACAAGTGTTACTCTTTGAGGTAAAGGTCAGGTTTGTGTATATCTCAACCCACAAGACCCTACTTTCGAGTGGTATTTACTGTGTCATTTTGGTTTAGTTTAGTTTGGTTTATGGACTTGATCCAAGTACTGAACCATCTATATAAAAAGTAATACAACCCTATCTCCCTCTTATGTATTTTTCTTTCCATGGTCGATTGACAGTTTGCCACCTTTGACCAAACTACTCCATAGGTTCATAAAAAGTACCCTCCACATGGATCAGGAAAATATAGGGTTTCTTACAAGCAGGCATGGCCAAGTTGATGACAATTCAAACCTAAGGGGTTGTTGGTTGGTTTTTCATTAAGCCCTTTGTGGATAAAGTTGTCTGTGTGGATTAATCTATCTGTAAAAATTGGAATGGTTTTTGTTTAGGAGGGTTTATTCGTAGATGGAAGAGTGTGTTTTTTAATTGGGTGTGACAGGTTTGGAAAAACCTTGCCTTTCTGCTTAAAACTCCCCAAGAATCTTAGTGAATAAGCCTCTTTCTATATTATTACACCACTACCAAATAGTCATGTATAGCTAACCGAATAAGCTGTGAGTCTCATTAAGCACATTAAGCTGCTAACACATAGGCAGGTCCCAAGCCCTACCCTAGACAAAACCCTATTCTTTACAATCACCTCAAAGTGTAATTCTATTCAAACATCATCCCAATCTCAGGATGAACATATTGACTCATTTATATAACCATCAATGCTTGTCAACAAACGCCCACAAATCAAAATAACAATAACTTTAGAAATCAACCACCTCATCAATAAATCAAACAACAGTCTCATAAAACCTTCCTCAAATCTCACACATACTCCCTAGTACTACGAAATCACAATCATCAAATCATGAACACCGGACCATCATATGATAAAATTCAACAAACTATATTTACAGTAAATACGAAATTGGCAAATATATCAACTGATTATAACTATATATTTTATTAAGAGAGAGTAAACAGATGTTACGAGATCTTCATTGATGACGTAGCATTCGAGTTGATCGTCCCAACCGTCGTGCAACTTTTTATCCCTAACAAGGTCTCCTATGTTGATATGACGAAGAGTAGTTGCCTCCGCCACCGCGGCCGACGTCGTCGTCTTCCCGGTCCCCGGTGTACCGGTGACTAGAATGTTCGGCTTACTCCTCATCGCCGCCGGCTCACCTGCAACACAATTTCAAATGGCGGTGTTTGTGGGCTGTAGCCTTTTGGGTTTTTGGAAGAACAAATTTTCACTTAGTCCTCTTATTTATGGATAAAGTTCAAACACCCCCTCGTACTTTCACAAGTTTGATAATTCTGTCTTACAAAGATGTTTTGTATGAATATTTTTATTCGCGAAGTAGTGATATTTTGTAAACATGTTTAATTTCTTATATTATAATTTTTAGTAAATATATTTGATCAAATTTACAATGTCTAAATGATAAAATATTAAAATTAAAAGTACAATGTTGTATATAAATTGGTCAGGTTATAATTAAAATAATTTTGAAAGTACAATGTTATAATAAGAAATGTCATGTCAGTATTATCGTATATGTGGACAGCCTACGTGGACGATGAGGTAACAAAAAAACTTGGTATAAATATAATGGGTAAATTTAATTTAAAATGTTACTCAATGCTATAACGGATAAATTTTTTAAAGTGACACATGGATCTCAACAAGTGGAGAAAGAAAATAAAAACAAAATTCAGACTTCCATAAAATCAATAATTCATTCCTATTTTTTATGTATAACATTAAGAGCTAAACAAACAACCCCTTAGCCTTTTGGGTTCTTAAGAATAACCAAAGAGTCACGTCTTATAACTTTAATAATTTAATTTTAAAATATACTGGTATAATTTTAATTAATGGTAAAAAACATATTAATTATAAAATATAAACGGGTTGCACGGACCTGTTCATATATATTTTTACATTGCTCATGTCCGTCCGTTAATTTTAATTTTAACGAACAAACGCGGGTTCGTTCATTTTCTCGATAATGGTTGTCCAAACCCGTATTTTTAGCTGGCCGGGTCTAACGGGTTGTCCCACCCATGAACAACTCTAACATGAGCCTTCACACACACACACAGGGTTGGGTTCACGTGAGACCAAGGGTTTTTCGTGAGACCCGTAAGACCAATTTACGTTCATTGATTAACTTTACAAGTTAATGATCTAATGGTCTAAAATTAAACGGTGGCAATTTTGTGATTATTGAGAAGTTTCGTGGCGTTTGTGAATGTTCAGATCTAACGATTATAGATTTAATCCAAGGGATGAGAATTGGTCTTACGGGTCTCACGAAAAAACTTTGGTCTCATATGATCCCAAGTCCACATACACACACACACACATATATATATATATATATATATATATATGTCAACATGTCATAATTAAAAAAAATGTTTCTCCAAATTCAGAGTGAGAAAGATACTGCCACTGGCCACCAGGTTGGCTCGACCCACAAAGGGGTCGTAGCCGAAATTTTAGATTCCTACCCTCGTGTCGATTTGGTTCAAAAGTCGATATACATTTTATTTGGGCTTATGTGGTTGGATGCACTCTTTTGTCTTGTGCTATCATATCGAGAACGTCGTTTAACATCAGTAATCTTTCAAATTCTTTTATGCATCAGTACAGTCGAGTACCTCATCGAAATCATGCAGAGTCATGAAATATAAACGTTCGGTTCAAGCCAAAAAAAACACATGTCACTATAAATTGACATGTGAATATATGAATAAGATTTATCAGTAAAACAGTTGTTTTTCATAATACAGAAAAATAGAAAATATATAATTAGTTAATAATAAAAGGTAGGGGTGCTTATGGGTTGGGTTGATTGGATTGAAGACATTTGAACAACTAAACCCAATATTTGCGGTTTGAAAAATCTTAACCCAACCCAACTCAAACCACAACCCAGCCCAACCCAAACCGTACGGGGTTGGTCGGGTTGATAATTTATTTTTCATCATCAATCATTTAATACAACTTATCCATACTTCTTACGTATATCACATTCAATTAATTTTCTCAATTTACATATATATGTTCACAGTTACTAAACATATATACGAATAAGTTATATATAGATTGAAAATATGTGTATATGAAGAGCGTACGTGATAATGTAATTGTCTAATGTATATAATAATAGAAAATTCAAACAATTATATTAAATCCAATAAATAAAAGAATATTGAGTTTATCAGGTTGAGTTGGGTTTAAATAATAGTAACTCAATATCAACCCAATACCTACGGTTTAAATTTTTTACAACTCAATTAGATATCGGGTTTAAAATTGGATTGGTTTGATTGGATTTTTGAACACATGAAACTCTTGAGAAAAAAAAAAAAGAGGGGCATGGGAATGGGTCAGAGGCACATGGACACCATTGTTAAGTTCTGATCTATGGGACCACTCCTTATTGCACCAAGAAATCTTTTTTTTTCTTCCTTTTTTGGTATTTTTTTTATTTTTAATTTTTAAAAGTGAAAAAAAATAGGAGTCGAATTCAAACGATAACAGTGATTAATTTTTTTTGTAATTATGAGAGGTTGATTAACCATTTTTATTGTGGAGGGTGTTAATCATGAATATTATCATCTTCATTATTTTAATTTTAGAGAAATACATGAAACAGTTTCATTAAAATTTCATTAAGTATTATATGAAACAATTTCACAAGATTAACAATTTCATGAAAAAATTTCATAAGATTAACGACGGATGAGAGTAGTTTTTACAAATTGGAGTGGTTTTCATTTGATCGCTCCTATATATATATATATATATATATATATATGCTAAGCGGCTACGTGTTGAAAATTAAGAGGTACCATCATCTATGCATCATGTACAAGTTTTGAAGTTAAACATCTCCCATGAAACTTCATTTATCATATTATCATACATAATCGTATATTAACTAAAATATATTAACGTTTTGTTTGTATTTTTCATTTTCAGCTCTTAATTACAACTTATATCTGATTCGTTCAGATGTTTTAAATTTAGACTATTTGTTTTTATTATTATTTTCAGATAATCTTTTCACTTAATAAGGTCTGAATAAATAAAATGTAAATTAATATCTTAAATTCTCTTATTTTCGTTTTTTTTTATTTTCTTCGGTTATTACTTCTTTCTCTATCAGGACCGCCACCATCCTCTTATCACCCATGTGAAATGCATACCCCCACCCTCTCTCTCTCTCTCTCTCTCTTTCTATATATATATATATATATATATATATATATATATATAGTTAGCTTAGAATATCAATGTGAAACAAGAACTTCTATCGGCGATCTATCATTTATCAAAAGTATCGATCTTTCTGTAAACAAACTCACTGGTGGCATTCTCGATAGCATCGGAAGTCTGAAAGGTATCCAAAATGTTCTTACAGTGTTTCATCTGTTAAACAATTGTTGAGATGAATTTTGGCAATAGAAATTTTATGAAAATCAAGAGAATTTTGCAAAATGTTTGCACCTGATTTTACAAATATATATATATATATATATACATACATATATATATATATATACATATATATATATTGATTAAGATTTCAGACTTTAGACGTTTGTCAGTTTATAAAATCAAACAGTCTTATTGGTTCAGATTTCAAACTAACAACACCTTTTATTAATCAGAAGTGAAATAATGCTTCAGACTTCAAAACTTTTAAAAAAACAAACGCACCTAATGAATATGTTTCACTTTTTACAAATTATATCATTATAATCGTCTCATCAATGCCTTTAGAATGAGACCAATATTGAATATTTTTCGATTTAATTTCATATTATTAAATAACATAAATACGTAGTGAATTATTTTTAAAACTTTTATTTTACACCTTATAGTTTTCATATTTAATTTGTTTTATATTTCTTATTTTTTTTTTCATTTATATTTTACACACTTAATTTACAAATTTAAAGTTGTTGAAATAAAAGTTTAAATCATGCTATAGCAGACGCCATAAGGTCTTATTATAACAGTGGAGACTCGTCTTACGTCATATCATGCTATAGCAGACGCCATAGCATGCTTTTTTGAATACTGGTGTGATTACATGCGACCTTTGTCGTGATTCAAGTTACCCGCACATCATCGTGTTGACCATTTTCCATTATCGTATGTGATTTCTTAGTAAATTTATACAGAATCTAACCATTTTCCAAACTTTTTTCTATTTGATATTAAATTTAACCGTGACCATAAGGGTGATGTCTGATTGGTTTGAGTTTGATCTTCAAATGTCTGGAGGTCTCAGGTTCAAATCCAAAAAGGAATAAAAATCCCGTTGTGGCCACACATGTTCAAATGCGGCGACTTAGGGCTATATGCAAAGCAGGTGGTCGTATGGGGATTAGTCGGCTCGTATAGCGGGTTGGATATCTAAGTTAATAAAAAAAATTAACTGCAAGATAAAATTGGAATAATTGTAAATTGGCAAATAATTGTATTTTTTTTCTTCCCAATTTCGTATTTAAACATTTGACAAAAACTTTTAAAAACATTTTTTCTACATAAAGTATTGTTTATTGAAATAAAAGTCTGGCAAACCAACTCTACCAAATAAAACTTGTTCTCATTGTAGTTTTAAAATACATATGGTGACACACAACAAATTAATACCGTTGCACCTTTCACGAACCTAATTTTTTTTTACCTTTCGACGGAAGAATAATACGGTGGCACGTGCCACCGTATGTACCACTATAATTCCGTCTCTGCCATCACTTACTGGGTAAGACTCTAGGTCATTGTCTTCGTTCTTACCGGATAAGATTCTTGGTTCTTGTCATACTATTATTAGTTAAAGTAATGTGACTTGATAAGTGCTTATTCGGGTAAGCATTTAGGGGCTGTTTACCAAATTTTTTATTAAGTCCTGTATGGATAAATTTGTCTGTTTGGATAAATAAGTGTTGTTGTTTACTTTTTTTTATCTGAACCAACAGTCTGAATAACACAAATGACCGATTTACCCCCAACATTAATTATTTGAACATCAAAACAAAAAATCATAAAGAGGCCGAAGATGGGGTGTCTCATATGGGAATGAGGCAGTGTTTTAAATAAGGGGTAGGGGTGCCATTTTTATGGCTGAATGGGAACAACACACCATTTCTGTCTGTACGATTAAACCATGTTCTGTGCGAATAAACTGTAAGTAAACAACCCAAATGAGCTGTGCGAATAAGTCAAATAGACCAATAAGCCTAATTAAACCGCAAGTTAGTAAAAGTCTCCTTAGTGTTAAATATAAAATAATTATTAAATAAATGATATAAAATAAAAACTATAAATAACAAAAATATCACTTAATGAATTATTAATTGCATTATCAATCCACTAATAATTATATATATTTAATTAATTTCGTACGGCAATCTTTTCCGATCAATAAACCGCAAAATCCGGTGCCAGCCGTTACCTTTTCCGGCCAACCACGGGGCCCATACAAAACCAACCACCGCTGTCATCAGCCACCGTCCCACTAACTCCATTCTGCTAACGTGGCGCAATATCCGCCGTAGATCTTCATGTTCTTCAATATCCTAATCATTCGCCTTCCACTCAATTTACAATATTTACCCCTATACTTTTTCAAAGTTTCAATTTTACCCCCCCAATCATTCTCTCTTCTTCAGCCGCTCATGCAACCACCGCAAAGTCCCACATCTATTAAGTCTACACAGACAATTATGAGCAAAACCTCAGGGGATTGAAGTTCCGGTGAATCGGAATTGATCAATGGATGAGGTCAACGGTGTGATGCCTCCGTACGCCGCCGGTGCCGGCGTTGGATTCGGATTTGGAGGCAATGTTCCGAGAGTATCGAAGGACGACTGGAGGTTTCACGCGACTGAGTTTGCGAAGGGAGTGGCGGAATTGAGTGTTGAGTTTGGGAAAGGATGTAGGGATGTGGTGAAACAAAGTGTATTGAGAGATGATTCGTTCGTTGTGAGGAATTTGGGAGGTCCGTGTAAGTCTGCGTGTATGAAATTGAGGTTTTTGAATGAGTATTTACCTGAAGATCGCGATCCAATGCACTCGTGGAGCGTCATTTCCGTCGTTTTCGCCGTCGTTATTGCAGGTAATTCCGGTTTGTTCAGTAAGCGATTTTCCATTGTTTTTTCTTTTTCTTTCTGGAAATTGGAAGGAAAATCGATACTGAATTCCTATTGTAGTTTTTTGAATCTTCTAATTTGTGATATAGTTCTCTGATTTGTGGTCTACTGAATTCATCAATTATGAACAAAATCTTTCTGGAATTCAACCTTTTTTGTAGAGATGATGAAATAATGGACTTTTTCCTCTTCGTGGTTACCTGATTTTGATTAATTAGGTTCAGTTACAAGCAGAATAAACGTAATTTCTTGAGTTATTCTCATCGAATGATCACTTCAAATTCAATCGAGCATCATAATCTCTACACTTTAGTATTGCGAATTACTTGGTCTCTATGGTTGACGTACTAAAGCAGCTCATCTGGTCAAGATTTCCATGTAGTTAGTGTTGATGAGATGAATTTTTGTTAGTTATTTTCCAGATTAATCTACTTTTATGCTAACTGTGGTTTGAGAGATGATCTTTCTCATTCATATGCTTGATTTTGATTTTATTCAGAATGAATATATTTACATCAAAGTTCAAAATGCTTAAAAGTTTGATGGGAGGACTGCAAATAATTAAAGGGGTGATAAAGATATGCTATATCTAAACTTCAAAAGTTGATTACTCTGAATAACCATTCAGTATCTGAAAGAAGGAACAAGGAAGCTCATGGTGGATCAAATGACCCATAGAGAAATGGCGATAACATTAGGTTTAGATGAAAGGGAGTTCTAAACAGAACCTCTTTTGAAAGGGAGTCTTAGATGAATCATATGATTTAATAGGCAACAGACAGACACACATTTGGTAGAAAAATTCTGTTCTAGAATTGCTGCATCTACGACAACCATCAGGACTAAATCATGCTAATTTTTAACCGGGGGAGAAATGTAGAATCAAAAAGTGCAACTAAGGACAAGGGTTAAAGGGTGCAGAACTACGATTGTGAATCTATGTTATGGGAAGTGGAAAGGCACTTGTTATGGATTTACAGAATGGATGATGTGATGATCCTGAGGATTAAGTACTTTTGGCATGGTTGTCGCTGATTTTTGGCAGTCTCTATATTCTGCTTTGTTCCAACTTACAGTCCGATATGCAAATGCTATAGGTTCATAAGATGGCAAACAAATAAGATTCTGATTTGATTTTCATCTATATATGTATGTGTGTGTGCATTTCCAGAGTGCTATTGAACATCTCACTGATACGTGGTCAATTATATGCAGTTCTGATTGTAACCTCTGAAAGTGATACAACCGCACCATTGATACAAAAATTGCACATAGATCCTCCAAATGCTACTCGCATACTGTTACCGGATGGCAGACACTTGGCTTATCAGGAGCAAGGTGTTCCATATGAGAGAGCTCGCATTACCCTGGTTGCATCACATTCTTTCCTTTCATCACGACTCGCAGGTAGAATATATGATACAAGTGATAACTTCCAGAACATTTCTTCATGAAAACTAAGAGGAAAATACAAACGAAGAGAAAAGATAAAATTGTTGAATTGTGGCTAAAAGAGGAGTTGAGGGATAGAATCTGCTGTTGCTGATGTTTCACATATGTTCGCTCTTTTTTTTTATCCAAATAGGAATACCTGGGATTAAGGCTTCACTACTACAAGAATTTGGTGTTCGCTTGGTAACATACGATCTTCCTGGGTTTGGGGAAAGCGATCCTCATCCTGGCAGGAACCTTGAGTCATCAGCAATGGACATGTTGTATTTGTCGTATGCTGTGCATATAACGGAAAAGTTCTGGGTGGTGGGATACTCGGGTGGAAGCATACATACCTGGGCTGCACTCAAGTACATTCCTGACCGAGTTGCAGGTATGCTATTCCCTTCTTTATATTACATGTTAGATGCATTTTCATTAGCAGTTGTGCACATATAGGGCGTGTCAGTTTGGTACGAGGACTGGACGGGCCTGGACTGGATTGGACAAGCAAGTGTGAGGTAGGAGGATGAAAGAATTGCGAAAGGTTTTAGGGTTTTAATTTGACATGGGTAGTTTAGTAATTTACAAATCTTGTTCTTTCTCCCTGATTTCCGTCCCACCTATTTTGGTGGGACAAAAAGAATGCAGTTTTATCCCACTTGGTCATGTCCTCCCCAGTTTAAAGTGGCGCCAAACGTGGCACAACAAGGACTGGAAAAACTAAATTGTGATTTTTTGCTTTTTACTATTACAGTATTTTAAATGCCATCAGTGCCCTGCAACAGCACAACACACTATTGAAAGTTATATGTACCAGAATTATCTCATTATTTTGTTTCACCAAGAATCAAATACTTTCCCTTTTCTCTGACCATCCTTGACTTAAATTACAGGTGCATTCATAGTATCACCTTTGATCAATCCATACGAACCAAGCATGAATAAGGTTGAGAAATATAGGACCTGGGAAAAGTGGACATCAAAAAGGAAATTTATGTACTTTTTAACGCGAAAGTTTCCAGCATTTCTTCCATACTTCTACCGCCGCAGCTTCTTGTCAGGAAACCTTGATCAAATAGATAAGTGGCTATGGATGTCACTTGGAAAAAGGGTTAGTAATCTTGACTGAAGATCACTTTATAAGTAAAAAGAGATGTAAATTCAAGTATTTTTTTTTCCAAAAATAACATCAAAAGAGGAACAGCTTCGTCTATGTGCATAATACATATTTGGATAATTTGAAGTGTTCAAATAATAAAGAGAAAACCCATTTGACGTTTGATTGATAATTCTGTTTAGTTTCAAAATTTCACTTCTATTGTGCCTTTCTATGAATGTCTGATTGGAGAATTCTTTGACTTGGCAGGACAAAGCTATGATAGAAGAAGTGAAATACCAAGATTTCTGGAAGAGGGATTTGGGGGAGTCGGTTCGACAGGGGAATGTAAAACCATTTGTAGAGGAAGCAATTTTGCAGGTATCAAGTTGGGGTTTTACGATCAGTGATCTCAGTGTCCAGAAGAAACGCCAAGGGAAAGGCGTCATCTTCTGGCTCAAGTCTATATATAAACGACCACAACAAGAGTTGACGGGCTTTCTTGGTCCAATACATATATGGCAGGTCGGTGCACTCTCTTCTCATTATGCTCAATGGTACCAATAAGTCCCATTTTTTTCATCTGTCATATATAATAAGTAGCAAAAGTTGGTTGGAGATTGCATGCCATTTCTTCAATAAAGTAGCCACTTATAATACTATCTGCACATAATTACAGATATCCGTCGTGTTTGGAGTAAATTAACGATCAACCTTTTTGTGATGCATAGATAAGTAAATAATGTATTGACCACGGCAAAAAAGTTTTTTATCTTGATTAAAATAGCCCCGTCACATTTTGCTCCATGTCTACGTTTTGTGTAAAACCTATTTCCTTTACGTTCCTCTGCCATGTTACATTGCCCTTCTACTTGTGCACACACTCCCACCAATATCTTTCTTGCTTGTTATATCTATTTGTTCTGTAAGGGCTTGTTTGCTAGCAGCTTAATGAGCTTAATGGGACTCATAGCTTATTCGGTCAACTATAATAGACAGTTTGGTAATGGTTTAATGATATAGAAAGTGGCTTATTCAGTAAGATTTCAAGGGGGAGCTTTATGCAGAAAGCAAGTTTTTTTTGTCAAACCCGTCCTTCCTAATTAAAAAACAGGCTCCTTCCATCTATGGGAAAACCCTCCCAAATAAAACCTTCCCGGTCAATACAAACAGATTAATCCACACAGATAGCTTTATCCATACAGGACTTGATGGAAAACCAACCAAACAGCCCCTAAGTCATGGGTATTGATGGAAATGGCCTTCTCTTCTTACCCCTCAGGGTAGAGACATAGAGGTACTGTCTGCTTACATCTTAACCTCTCTAGACGCTAGCTCTGGATGGGATTTATTGGGTTGTTTGGTTTGGTTTATTCCCATGGGTATCCACATCAAATTGAAGCTAATTTAAACATTCTTATATTTGAAAAATATTTAAGGTTACTTATCATAATAAACTTTTTTTTTTTTTTGTAAATTCTTAATAAACTTCATATCTTACATGTGAAATCTCTCGACTACGGGAATACTTGGGTGTCGGTTTTGCTATACGCCAAAAGAGCACAGGATAAGAAAATGAGTTGCTCATTTTGTCCCTCAAGATCCACCACAATTTCCTTTTCAGGATGTTCTTGTTGCAAAAGCTTCAACTTTACTCTGAAATTTTACCTATTTAGGCACCATTGTAATCACTACAGTTAGATGTGATTCCCGAGATAATGCAAATGATATCTAGGTATTTGGATAATAGATTGTGTATATATTTAGATACAAATTTTGTGGGATGATCACTTTTAGCAGTTTTAATTATTGGGGTAGGTTCAAATGAGAACCGTAAATGTTCTAAGAACCTACGAACCAACTATTTCTTGAATTATTCATGATGAATAACCCATCAATGAATGTCATGCATTTTCATTATTCATAATATACATCATGAATAATTCATTAATAACTGGTTCTCAGCTTCTCCAAATATTTACAGTTCTCATGTGCACATGTCCCTTAGGGTGTGTTTAGTACACTGGACAAAACAGAACAGAGATCACTGTTCCATGTTTGGCATGACTTTTATGTGAAACAAGTGTGTTCCATCCCCACCCCATGAAATAAGGTGGAACAAGCCTATATTTTACCTATATACTCTCAAAATAAAACCTATTCCCTTCTAAAACGTCAAATATGCATCCCTCTATATTTTATTTGTTCTTTAAATTTGGTTGTATTTTACTCTCTTTAAACTTTCACTTTACTGTTCTTAAAGTTTCATTTTTTATACACTAATACGTAAAAGCTATAAAAGAAAATTTGGAAATTCCATGAACTTCATATTTCAATATCATTTTTAGATATTATTTGTTAATTTTCGTTTCGATTGATTATTTGGTAGAAAACCACTAAACCACGCATTAGGGGTACATTGATCATTTTACCCGTCATGTTTTGTCCAGTCCTGTCTTACTAAACACTAAATGGATGTCTTGTTCTGTCATGTTCCATCTTGTCCTGTCATGTCTGGTACTAAACGCACCCTTAAAATATACACGGTTCTCATTTGCAACTGACCATTTTCGAAATTTTCTTACAATATTAACAGGGGATGGAAGATCGGGTGGTGCCACCATCAATGAGCGACTACGTGCAACGGGTTCTACCAGGAGCAATGGTGCATAAGCTTCTTTACGAGGGCCACTTCACCTACTTTTACTTTTGCGATGAATGCCATAGACAAATGCTCACCACAGTATTTGGCAACCCACAAGGTCCGTTGCCCATTAAGCTCGATTCAGCTCCCATCGAGAACAACAACAGCAATGAAGAAACCGGAGAAACAAAAGAAGAAGAAGAAGAAGAAGAAGAAGAAGAAGAAGAGGTACAAGTTACTTATTCAGACACTACTTTTCTTTAGTTTAGATTTACATGCACATTTTATAGATGCATACACAACAGGTTTGCTAGAAAGTACTATGACTGCACAGAACCCATTGCTAAATAAGTAATAACACTTTGTAGGCTGGAAAGAGATCACCAAAACCCATGAGCCAAGATAGACTCAAGAGGGTGTTTATTAAACGCTTACCTGGTAAGTGCTTACTAGGTCATTTTACCTTACCAGATGAACACAACAAGGATCGAGAATCTTACCTGGTAAGAAGGAAGGCAAAGGTCGAGAGTCTTATCCAGTAAGTGAGGGTGATGATTCTTACCCGATAAACACTTACCGAGTTATAAACGCTTACCATTAATCTATTCTTATGGCCAGGAATGTTACCCCATAAGGTAAATAAGAATGGTGACTCTTGCCGGCAAGTGTTTATCCCGTTTGGTAAACGGCACCGACCGTTTACCAAACGCTTATTGGGTATTTGTTTAGCGGTAAGAGACATAATTCTCATTTAATCTTACTGTTAAACAAATACCCATCAACCATTTACCAAATGCTTATTGGGTAAGCACTTACCGGCAAGAGTCACCATTCTCATTTACCTTATGGGGTAATATTCCTAGCCATAAGAATTAGATTAATGGTAAGCGTCTATAACCCGGTAAGTGCTTATCACCCTCACTTACCGAGTAAGACTCTTATCCTTATCTTCCCTCTCACCGGGTAAGATTATCGGTTATTGTTGTGTTCATTTGGTCAGGTAATTGAACCCGTAAGCGCTTACCAAAGTAAGTGTTCAAGAAACGGCTCCTTACACAATGGAATAGATTTGCATTTCCAGCTTGATATCGGACTTCAAAGATTCCGTGCACGATTAGATGGGATCAAACAAATAAAACAGGACATGAAAATTGTATTTTTTATAGATATAGAACTCGGTTTTTTTGTATGCGATCACCTGATGTGACGTAAAAACCTAACCAAACAAGTTTAGTATATTCCATTTAAAAGTTATCCTTATTACGTGACATGAAAAGGCAAGCCAAATAAGCCCCATATATTCTAAGGATTTATTTGTTCCAAAAAATTGTTTAAAAACTTAATCATTTCAAATGCTAAAGTTTATTGGGTTTTTTTTAAACTTTTCCTTTTTATTAATTGCAATATCCAAATTTTGATCCATTATTATTTTTATAAAAAAAACTCTTATTAATCTCTTATGTCTGATTCATTAAGACGTAAGACCATTCAGATTGTTTGTTTGATTTTTAGTTTTGTAGAGACTTTTATGTCTTATTGTCCTCTTATCTGGTAAGAGATAAACCAACCTCTTATTGTTCTTCAAACCCTTAACAACGACGTTTCTCAATCGATCATTTATCTCGATCAATCCTTACCAAATTAATCCTCACATCTTTCAATTGATGTATTTTAATAAGATTTAAATGAGTTAATGACGTATTTTCATTTAAATGAATGCTAATTATATAATTTAGATGTAAATTTCGTAATGGTGATGAATAAATATGTGATAAATTCAACAATATATTTTTTAATGGGTAAAATAGACAATTTAAACAAATTTAGACGTTTATCAGTTTACAAAAACAAACAGTGTTATTGATTCAAATTTCAAACGTTGGCATTGCCACATCAACATGGTAACCGGTTACTCGAGTACTTAAATGTTTAAAACTTTAAATCTTAGGTACCAAAATAGAAGTTTTAAAAGTATGTTACCTAAAATAAGAATCAAGTCAAGGTACGTTACTTTTTCATACAATTTGCCATAAAAAACAATAAATTATGAGGACGAAAACCACATTTTCTAACCCATGTGAACGAAATCGCAGTTTTTAACAAACCATAAACACAAAAAACGTAATTTACCTTGTATTTAAACAAGATAAAATCTTTATTTATATGTAAATAAGAAAACGCGTGTCTTCGGGTGTTGGGCACTGTTTAGTGCATTGTGTATCAGCTCGTACTCATTTGTTACATCAACGAACTTATTTAATGTTGTGTTATATGTGATAATCTTGAATTATGAAAATCTACAGCTCATGCATAAACTGATAGATTGTACGTTGATCATCAAAAACGTGCCAAAATACTGAGATCTTAAAAACTTCTGATCAAATGAAAATTTCAAGGATCACTTCATGCTTCATTTAAACAACGTATCCCTTGTTTGTTTTTTCATAGAAAAACTCTTTTCAACTCTTTATGTCTGATTCGTTAAGAGGCAAGGTCATCCAGACTGTTTGTTTTTTCCAAATTTTCAGAGGCACTTATGTCTTATTTTCCTCTTATTTGATAAGAGGTAAACCAACCTCTTATTTGTCTCTTGTTGTTCTTCGAATCCTCAATAACAACGCTTCTCAATCGATTTCTTACCAAATCAATCATTACCTCTTTCAATTCATGTATTTTAATAGGATATAAATGTGTTAAACACCGTTAATGACATATTTTCGTTTAAATGAATGTTAATTATATAATTTAGATGTAAATTTCATAACCATGATAAATAAATACGTGAAATTGTATAAATTTATATATAGATCCAACACTATAATTTTTTAACGGGTAAAATACACAATTTAAACAAATTCAAAACGTTTATCAGTTTACAAAAACAAACAATCTTATTAACTCATATTTCAGACTTCAACACCACATCTTACAAATCAGAAATGAAATGAGACTTTAGACTTTAACACCTCTTAAATAACAAACATCACCTAAGTGACTACCGTTGTAATGTGATTGAATGAAGTAGATTAAATATAAAATTATAACAGTTTTTTTATATATTAAAATATGGGATGAAAGATTAGAATTCCTTCGCTGGAACCCAAGAAATTTACATTCCACCATATGTGAAATTCGAATTAATTACCAAAATGAACAAAATGCATGAATGAAATTTGGTCAATGAAATTCACCATTCCAATTCTCTTTTAACTGTTTTTGTAGTAAATTACAAAATTGTTCCCTATGGTTTATCGAGAATGACAGTTTTCATCCCTACATTAAAATTACAAAATGCTCATCGTAGTTTATAAAAACGTCCTGATTTAGTCCATCCCTTTAACGACCGTTAAAAAACTCCCTTAAAAGAAGCACATTTTTATTATTTTATCTATTTTTCGTCTTTCACCCGATAAAAAACCACAGAGACCAAAATCATAAAACCTATTTTGATCAGGTAAAAGGTAATAAAAGGACAAAAATGCTTCTCATTTAACAAATTCTTTGACTACCGTTAAAGAAAGAGACCAAATCCGGACGTTTTTGCAAACCACACTGATCATCTTGTAATTTCAAAACTATATGGACAAAAAACGTTATTTTGACAAACCACATGAACCAAATTTGTAGTTTAGGGGTTGTTTGTTTACCTATTTTAATAGTTCTATTAAGAGACAGTCCGTACATCGTCAAGAAGTAAATCTTGTTTGACATTTTTTTTGTCTTTTAATGATTCTAAAACTCTATGAATGATTTTATATTATGAGTCTCCCTTAACCATTAAGCGACCTAATTTTGTTGTAAACAATTATATTTCATTTTACACTATATTGTGAGAGCCTCTTAATGATTCTGACCACTTAATCATTCTACATCAAATCATTCAGCAACTGCCAAACACCCCCTTACTCTTGCTTTTTTTATTTAATTCATTTATTTCCTTCCACATTTGAGCGAAAACTCAGTTTTATTTTCCTTACTTTTTTGTTTCTTTCCTTCACAAAAAACCAAAGAACACGGGATTTTTTTTTCTTTCCCCTGTTTTTTCTTCCGTCTTCTTTCCTTTTTGTTCGTACAAAAAAGACTCTAGAATACAACATGAATGAAACGCTGAACAGCTGTCATGTTCTGTCCTGTCTTACCAAAAGCTGAACAGCTGTCCTGTCCTATCCTGTCTCGTCCTGTCATGTCCTGTCCTGTCTGCGCACCAAACGCACCCTAACCTTTGTTGGGCTATAAATATTTGGAACTGTGAATTACATCAGTGGGTCTTGTGGTTTGTTTAAATTTCGGATTTGGTCCCTAAAATGAAATATCTACATTTAATGGTTCCTAACTTTTCAATTTCATAACATTCAAGATCCCTTAAGTTAACACCGTCGGTTAGCAACCGTTAGGAGAGACAAATAAGTCTTTGAGCAAAGTATAGGGACCAAAAATGTAATTAACTCTAAAATTTAATTGTAATTCATATATATATATTTTTAAGAAAATCTTTATTAAAAATAATATTTTAATTGTCATATCAATTTAATTGTTGTAACTTATTTACAATTGTATGATAATTCAAGTTAATAATGTCTCATAGTATTTTAAATTTTAAAAAATGATTATTTTTTCATAATAAAAAAATTAATTATTTTAATAAACAAAATTTAATATATAAGTATCTCGTGTTAGGGGGGTGTTTGGGATTGCTTATTTAAAACAACTTATGTTTTTTTGTAAAAATACTTATTAATTTATGTGATATCAAACTGGGGTTTTATAAAAAGTGTTTGGATTAGCTTATAGCGGTACCAAACTGCAATAAGCTGATAAGTTGTTTTTTAGTATTTGACAAATTTTGCTTATATTTGTAAAATGACCAAAAATGACAGTCTTTCATATTATTGACTTATAAGAGTGTTTGTGATTGCTTATTAACTTATTTGATTTTTTAACATGTAAAAAATTATTTTTCATCATTTATAATATATTTGAGAAAAATTTATATCAATAAGATTAATAATTTATATCAATAAGATTAATAATTAACAAACATTTATACCAATACCATTAATAATTCAATAAAAAATAATAGATATGTACAACAAAAGAATATTAAATCGTCATTTATAATGTAATACTTTTATAACCAAAATATCAATAACAAAAATAGATCGTCATTTATAATAAATATTCATCTGGATCCACGTATTAGATCTTCTGCAATCATATCTCTTACTGCACTCATATATAGATCGTCACCCCTACGACGTGAACTTGTGTTTTCATGTGCTTCATTATTGCCACCACATCCTTCATCATCAACATCAACATAAGAGTTGTATGATTTTTGTTGCGCCATGTCAAATGCTTCGTCAAAACTACCGTTCATCCTAATATAATTGTGAATTGCCATCGACGCTAGCACAATATTTACTTGTGTCTCATAAGTGTAATTGACATGCATGCATATCTTTTAGTATTTGTCACCTAACTTTCCATACTCCAAAAGTTCGTTCAACACTATGTACAATAATTTACCCGATAAATTATTACCGTGGCAAGAGTCGTCACGTTCACTTACCGGGTAAAATTCTTGGTCAATGCCATATTCATTCGATAAGGTAATGTGACTTGGTAAATGCTTACCCGAGCAAACGTTTGCGTTGTAATAGGAACAAGAGATGTTATATTGCTGCCTTATAAAATCGTATAATAACCTCAAAAGTTTGGTCATCCATAAATTAGTGGTGGAAGACCCACAGAGAATTTGGTGGGGTTAGGGTATCGATCTGTTTGGAGGAATCGTTAGGGTATCGATCTGTTTGGAAGAATCGTTAGGGTATCGATCTGTTTGGAGGAATCGTTAGGGTGTCGATTTGTTTGGA